CTGGGTTCCCTGAAGCATTTAGCTGGCTGGTACTGAGGGGTCTGCAGCCAGGAGGGACAGAGGTGTTCAGAGGAAGGGGTCAGTCACTGCTCTGAGCGAATGATTCCTGGACACGTCACTTCTGTGGGGTCTGAAACTCTGGGCTCTGCAAATGTGTGTGAGGGTGCTTTCCTGGGGAGAGGATTCTGTGGTTTTCTTTGGACCTTGAATGGGGCCTTGGACCCCTGCGTGGTTCCAAGCCCGTGTAGAGAGCAGCCAGGGTCCTGCATGGATCCGAGCCCCAGCCGTCCTGGTGGTGATGGGGGGGCAGGACAAGGCAGCTATGGCTCAGGTTTTCTCTGTCCCAGAGGTGTGGTTCTCCTGGGGGATGAGGGCAGGTGTGGGGAGGGCTCCCCTGGTGGCAGCTCCTTAACCAGCCCCCAGCTACCTGTTCGCGGCCCCCTACTATTACGGCTTCTACAACAACCGACTGCAGGCCTACTGCAAGCAGAACCTGGAGATGAATGTCACGGTGCAGAACGTGCTGCAGGTAGCTCGCTTGGCGCCTGGGCTGCCTGCAGCTGTGCTGGCTCAGGGGTAGGGGTGGGGAGCAGCACTCAGGGCCTGCTGTTCCAGATCCTGGAGGCAGCAGACAAGACGCAGGCGCTGGACATGAAGCGGCACTGCCTACACATCATCGTGCACCAGTTCACGAAGGTCAGGCCCCGCCCTGTCCCCTGGCCCGCCCCTCGTCTTAGGGCCCGCCCCCCGTGGCTGTGGCCATGGCAGCAGGGGGCCCTGGGGATACCTAAGCAGAGCTGTCCCCCACTGGCCACGCCCCACCCTGTCCTGGGAGCCAGCCCACCCTGGCATGAACCTGGCTCCATCCTTCTGGCCCCGGTTGCCTCCTGCAGGTCTCCAAGCTGCCCACACTGCGCTCACTGAGCCAGCAGCTGCTGCTGGACATCATTGACTCCCTGGCCTCCCACATCTCCGACAAGCAGTGTGCAGAGCTCGGTGCCGACATATGAGGGCCCACATGATGCTGGCCTCACCCACCCTACCCACGCCACTGCGGAGACTGCTGGCGACATTCAGGCCTGTGGGTGCCCAGGGCCCCCACAGAGAGCTGAGGGGTACATGAGACAGGGAGCTGCAAATGTCCCACCTTACTGCTGAAGACACTGATCCCACAGGAAGCAGAGAGGGAAGGAGGCCCCCAGAATGGCACCCTCTCTGGGGTGGGGGTGGGGAGTCAGGGCTCAGCAAAGAGGACCCAGCAGGACGGATCCTGGCCAGGGCCCGGTGGGGGAGAGATGAGCCCAACAGGGAGCCGGCTTTGTGTCCCCCACCTGGTAGGGACCCAAGGGGATCTCCTGCCACCTGGAACTTGTGCATGGGCAACACTGATGGGCAGATGGAGTCTGACTGAAGATGAATTTTGGGGTGAAGGGCCCTGAGGTCAGCTCCCCACCCACGAAGTGTCACTCAGGACTGGGCTGGGTATCTGCAGGCGCTGCGGGGATCCCACCTGCCTGTGTGTGCATCAGGGCCTCAGGCTACACCAGGAAGACAGAAGAGATGCAACCCCAGTCCCCGCCTGTCCCTAAGTATTTATTGTCACAGGCTTGCCTCTATTAAAGCCACAGCAGTGCTACCTACACAGAGCTCACCGTGCAGTCCCCACTGGTGGGCTGTGGCCCTCTGTCCTCCCAGAGCCGAGGCCTGGCTGGGGGCCTGGGTGCTGGGATCAGCAGTCTTGCCTGGTTCTCTGTGCCTATAGCCCCTCGCCCCCGCCCCTACCCAGGGTGGCCCAGTTATGCAGGAGAAGGGCTGGTGGGAACAAAACAGGCTGGCATGGTGCTGTTTCACTCCCGGGGGGCTCTCCTGGCCCCTCTGTGGTGGCCCTGCTCGCACACTCCACTGTGGTCTCCTGTCTGGGCTAGGACTCTTGAGGACAAGCCGACTCCTTCCCTGAACTGTTCGGGCCTGGCTGCCACAAAGCCACTTTGGGAAAACATGAACTCTCTTCTCGGCCTCCAGTCGTGCCTGCACAACCGTGGCACCTGCCACTTCTCATGCCTTGCTAAGAGCCCTGGGGACCATGAGCAGGTAGACCCTTGGGCAAGGGAAGCACGCCTGCAGGCTGCCAGAAAGCGAGGAAAGGGTGGGGCAAGATGTGCCTCCACGGGCTTGCAGGCTTGGGGACCACCTGGACCCTCTGCTATCCGCATCTGCCTCCTATTGAGTGCCGTTTGACTCTCCCAGGCACAATGTGAATAAAAGTTGCACTCCAAGGGCTAAGCAAATTTCATGACACAGTGGAAACACTTCCAGAACTGGAAAGAAATCAGCTGTGCTCTTGGGGCCGAGGCCCTGTAGCAGGGAACAGGTGTGGCTAAGCTATAGATCACAGGTGCAGGGAGGCTGTCCACGTTCCAGCTGAAGTGAAGGAAAGTGAGGACACAGGTTGAGGCCAGGACTGCTGCCCATGTGCCTATTCCTCTGCTCCCCACACGTTCACCCCAGACCTCCAGGGACCAGGAAGGTCACTGTGGAACCTGCACTACCTGCCCAGCACAGCAGCCCCAGGTCAGTGATCAATGTTCTCAGCCGTTTTTTGGATGAGACAGGCCTGGTTGTGAGTAGGGGGCTGCCCAGCAGCTGGGGCTCTGACTTCCAGGTCTGACTGCTGGGCATACTCGGTCTGGGGACAGAAGCCTGTTATGTCCCTGAAAAGGACCTGAGTCTAGCCTGGGTTTTATGAGTGTTTTCCAAGAGGCCAGCAGGCTGAGGCCAGGCTGTTTTGGAACCCAGGAAAAGGTGTTCGGCCTTGCCCTCGACCTCTATGCACAGCACATGTCTCTCAGAGAACCCTCTGTGGCACAGAAGTGCCTGGGGAGTTGTGGCCAAGAGCTGGGCTTCCTGCTCTTCACAGCCAAACCTGGACTCCAAGGTCTGATTCCTCTAGGGGAAAGGGCTTAGAACCAGTGAGAAGGGTTCTAGTCCCCAATAGAGCCAGAGAGCAGGGTCTCTTTCTAGAATCCACTTTATTATGGCATCTAGCAGGTCCAGTGGACAAGCTCAGATCAGGTCCCTCTCCAGGTGGATTCTGATGCAGAAGGAGGCCAGAGCCCTGGCGGCCAGCTCAAACCATGCTGCTGCTCAGCTGCATGGCGAAGTCCTGCACATGGTCCTTCAGAGTCTGACGGGCATCTGCCTGCGCCCGCTTCTCCCGTGCCCGCTCCTGCTGCAGCTTGGTCAGCCGCAGCCGCAGCCGCTGCTCCCGCCGCTTGCAGGCCTGCAGCTGGCGCTGGGCCTTGTCCAGGGCATCCAGAGCGGCCTCAGCCCGTCGCTTCCAGAGCAAGGCGCTGCCCACCTGGTAGCTGTGCTCACTCTGGATGTAGGCTCCAGCAGGTGGCGGGAGGCGCAGCATGTAGGCCGAGGGGGAGACGGGCCGTGGCTCTAGAGGGGATGGCTGCCGCTCTGGCTCCCGCTCGGGTGAGGGCTGAGTGCTGCAACCTGCTTCGTCTGCCTGGGCGCCCAGGGGTCCTAGTAGGTCTGAGAAGGGGCTGCTGAGGCCAGGCTCCAGCCTCCCAGAGGGGGAGGCAGGCAAAGCCGCAGGGGCCGAGGCCTCTTCCACCGGGAAGCAGGTGACGTCAGCAGGGGGAGGCGGAGAAAATGGAGTTGTGGGCCCTCGGCCCTCCAAGCAGCTGAGGGAAGACAGACAGACTGACATGCTGGGCCAGCTTAGGGAGTACATGACCCCACTCCACCAGCCCAGCTGACCCCCACCTCTGAAGCCATTCTATGTGCTCAGAACCCTGTCCAGCAAGGCTGCTGGCAGACCCCTTAAAGCCCATCCCTCAGACCTGAGGTGGGGTGGGGCAGACCCCAGGCAAAGCACATACCGTTTCCTGCATCGCCGGAGCCGGTTGACATCCGGGGGACCAGAGGAGTAACTGTGCCCCTTGGTCTTGGTCGTTCGACGCAACTTGGAAAAAGACTCGAATATGGTGGGAACTGCTCCCTCCTTCAGCCTGTGATACCCACTGTGGGGGAAAGCAGTCTGTATGAGATGGGAAAAAGTGCTGCTGCCCCAGGTCCACCTGCAGGGGTTTGGAGCCAACAGGGTCCTGAACCCATCCCCATCTAGCTCAGTGGGAGCTGGGGAGGCACAGGGTTAACAGTGAGTCTGGGGAATACCAAGTTAAGAGATACACCAATCTCTTCTCTGCAGGACTCATCAAGAGTGAGTGTATGCAAAGGCTCCACCAGAGCCAAGACACATGATTTCATTTGTGCACCTGCAGGGTTCTGGGGAGCACCCACTAGCACAGTGATCCTGAGGGGTGGAGCCCACTCCCCTCCTCTGTCGTGAGTGGACACTGAAGCTCCGAGCTGGGGAGAACCAGGGCTCCCGCTCCAGGAACCTCTCTATAGCCGGCAGCTGCCCCAGTGCCCGCCCCTCTCCTCACAGCCGGCTGCATGAGGCTCACCTGATTCCCACCAGCTCAAAGCAGTTCTCCTCGAAGTGTTTGGAGCAGAAATAGATGTACTCGGAGGCCGGGTCCCATAAGCCCTGTCCGCTGGGGTCCAGCCTCTGGCAGTTGGCCAACCACAAGCCTCGCCTCGGGTTGTCCTTCTTCGGAAGTCTGCGGGGCCAGAAGCCCGTCAGCTTCGGGGTACCTGAGACCCCGGGCTCGCGCCGCCCAAGGTCCTGGACCGGAAGGGCCGGCAATGCTCATGCCTCCCCTAGAAGACGCGCGTACCCTGCACGCGCATAGATGCGGAAACTGAGGCCTCAAGAGCGAAAGGGACTTGCTTGGCGACATCGGACAGGTAGGAGTCGGGACAGCGGGCCCGGGACCAGCTGACCGCCCCCAGCAAGCACCCGTCAAGCACCGCAACCCTCCCACTCAGTCTCGCTCGGCGTCTAGGCGCCTGCGCAGTCGTAGAGCCTCGCGGCGGTCCGGACAGACGCATGCGCACGTGACCCTGGGAGCGCCGGCGCGCAAGCGCGCTGACCTGTGGAAAGAGATGCCGCGGTTGCGCGTCTCGCGCGTGTCCCGTGTGCAGCACCCGGCGGCGGAGCAGTGACGCGGCATCTGGGGAAGAGGCGGGAGCTCGGTCGCGGGCGGCTGTCCGGGCCCAAAGGGCCCTCGCGCCCCCCGCCAACACCCCGCTCCAGGCGGCCCCGGCCTAGCGGATCTCCTCCGGCCCAGTCTCGCCCGAGCCCCGTCCCAGCACGTTCTCCCGACTCTATAAGCGACACTCACGGCCTCGCCATTGCTGCACGGCCGAAATCTCGCGAGGTGTGACTCGCGCCGGAAGTCGGGACCATAGAGACACGGAAGCGAGCTGAGCTCGCCGAAGGGGCGGGGCGCGCCCCGGAAGGAACGAGTCAGCGCTGCGCGGCGGCTGGACGCTCTCTGGCCGCCCGGAACGTAAGCGCCTGCGTCGGAAACGCGCCTGGCTCTGTGAGGCGGAGGCCCAGCGAAGCCCGCAAGCGTAACTTCAGCAAGGGTAGGTGCGCCGACTGGGGCGGGTGGGGAAGTGCCGGGAGGCCGACTTTGGGGCAGCGGCTCCGGAGCGGGTCGGGGCCGCCCGGCCTCCTTTGCGCTCCCCCAGACAGCGTGCACGCGGTGCCAACCCGGTCCAGACCAATTCGCGACTCCGAGGAGCACCGAGAACGTCAGACCTGACAGCTGCTCCGGTTCCCGGCCGAGCCATGCTCCGGGAGCGAGGCCGCAGCTCAACACGGACAAGCTTCGTTTTCTCTGCCGGCGGAAAAGTTTGTTTTCCCTAGAAACCGGCTCGGAGAAGGCTGGTATCGGGACGGGAGTAAGGGCGAAGTGCAGTACAGGACCAGACGATGCCAAACAAAAACTTTAATAGGTAAATACATTCTGTAACGTTATAGTCGCGGGGTACGGAGCCGCCAGCCAC